ACTAAAATTTGTTTAAATTCGACAATTTGATTAATTGCATTCAACTTATTTCAAGTTTCTATGTATTTTTTAAAAGTTATTACTTTAACTTTATTAGAACATACTCTTACTTTTTCGACTGTTTTTATTTACTTTAATTCTTTCACCCTAATGTGTTTATTTGTATAGTTTTTAACGGTCATACATGGAAAGAGTTATAGAAATGTTCATGTAGTTCTTAATTTCACACTCATACTTGCATAATTTCATATTTAACATTTTATTTCAATAGATCTTAATTGTTCTATTCTTAATATTTTTAGATTTTTCAATTTGGAAAAGAAAGATGGATGTTTATGTAATGTTTTAAAAAAACATCTCATATGTTCCGAAAAACTTGTTCTCGAATATTTGTTCTGAAAAGCTTATGTCGAAAGATTTTTAGAATAAATAAGAAATCCCAAAGTCTCATTGAAATATATCATTAAAGGCAGAGTTGTCATTTTAAAAATTATAGGCATGCAAATAGTAATTATGGGGTGCAGAAAACAAATGGCTAAAAATTGCCCTTTTTAAAACATATCGAGATAGTAAAGGTATTATGGAATACAGAATTTTTTTAGGAATGTTTAATACGAAATTATCCTGGAATGGTTATTTTGAAAAAAATTCAGTTTTTTTGAGTGGATTTGAGAAGATTTTTTTGAGTGAATTTGAGAAGATTTGAAGATAAATTTTTTTGTCGTTTATTTAAGTGAATTTAGAGGTAAATGAGAATGAATTTAGATGTAAATGAGAGTGAATTTAGAGGTAAATGAGAGTGAATTTAGAAATAAAATTTGTGAGAATTAGTATAAAATTATACTGACATGACATTAAAAAAATTTATTTTCAAATTCACTCTCATTTACCTCCAAATTCACTCAAATAAACGACAAAAAAAATTATTTTCAAATCCTCTCAAATCTCCTCAAATTCACTCTCTTAAATCCACTCAAAAGAACATAACCTTAATGCTACTTCATCCATTATGTAATATGAAATCAATTAGTGAATGGCTATAATGAGAATTTTCAATCTGACTTGACTTTCTATTTTATATTTATAAAAGTTATGTAATTTTCTCTCCTCTTAAAATTACAAGATCCGTAATAATAAAACAAAAAACTAAATTAAGAATACATTTCTTAAACATTCTAAATATAAACCTGAAATTTGAAAACACTGCAGGACATATACTTATTTTGTTAACTATCATTTTTGTATATTTACTTATAGTATTATATAGTCTCTTATTATAACTTTTTCTAGAGTGCTGTTATATCAATAACATATCTAAAACATGTCCATTTCCAAAACCAGAATTGAATGACTTATTCATAAAGACATAATCCCAAATTATTTATGCAACATCCACAAGAATGAATATATCTAAATGTAAAATGTAACATGTTTTCTGTTGGATCATGGTGTAGAGAGAGAAAAGGCTCTTAGCCTACTCTGCTTAACTGCTCCTTGGACGTGCTTTCAAATATCTTGTCAGCACTTGCTACCTCAAAACCATCCCTTCTATGGAACTCTTTAACCTGTTTCGTTAGTTAGACGAAGAATTAGCAAATCCACCAGAAAATGCCTTGCAACAAATTTTTTGTTAGCAGGTGGTTCAAAACTTAAGGTAGTTCTTCTCAGTTTCATCTTTAACCAAAAAGATCGGTCACAGAATCAGTATTGGCCAAGAACAACAAAGAAAATAACTGTCACAGAAAGCTAAAACCATATGGTCAAAAGAAAGAATGATAATTACCTCTGTGTCAGGTAAATTTCTATACTGTGGCAGCACCAGACGCTCGGCAAATTCAATATATGAGCAAGGGACTGATTCAATAATATCATCAGAAAATTGGAAAGAGATTGAATCTGCTACAGTTGAGCTTTGCTGGAGAAGACCATCAGGGCTCACTGGAGGTAGAGGAAGTATTCAAATCATTCACATGATCACAAAACTACAACTTTCTATGATTATCTTCAAACAGTCAATTATATCAGCATGTTCACAGTTAGTCTAGGTAATAATTTCCATATTCATCTCAAAATTAGAAGCATGATTCGCACACTGATGATACACACTCACGCAAACAGATTAACAAGCTGCTTTATACCATTCCTTTGTTTTGTCAGTACTCAGAATATTCAAGATTTAGATTTGATGAGTGAGGCCAAATTTTCAGAAGGTGAACAGAAGCAGGAATTGAAGGAATATAGTCATGTTTGCCATTCATTAATATAAGAGGAAGTTATCTGCTCTTCATTCCTAATTTTTTCACTTGAGATAGCAATTGTCTTATCAGAAAGAAACCATGCTGAGATTGTCTGACATTGAACATTAGAAAACCTTGTACTTGCATAATAACAAACAAGGATGCAAACCTTTCAGCAATCCTCCTTCAGAATTCAACCTGAATCCACTCTCTTCAATAAACTGATTTAGTGCTTTTATATCCTTCAAATGAGTGTTCAGCCGATGGGTGGATATAGTAACATGGTTCAGCGCATAACCATTGACTAGGGTCCAGGCAGCATACTCACTTTCACTGTGTATTAGATACCAACAAACAAACCATAACTAAGCTAGATGATAGAAGAGAATATAAACTTTCCTCAAAAAACATTTCTCACCATACAGACAGTAATAAATAATACCTTGCCAATTGTTGAAACTCTGAATATAAGGGCTTTTCCCATGTTAAATGTCCAAGGGAACTTGCAAGTGCTGCATACTTGTTTCCATCCCCGGATGATTCAGTGTATTTTCTAATTATTTCCTTCACAAAAAATTCCAAATTCTTTCAATTCAATTGGGTTTGGGGAAGAAACGAAAGTGTAAACCATTGACTTCATGCAACTATGTGTATCATACAGATATGGATTGCAGTCTTAAGAAATCAATCCGTTATTTGGTTCTCAGATTATTGTAACACTCTTCAACATTTAATACTACAGCAACATCACAGTCTTAGGTAAAAATAAAACAATTTTACATTATTTATAATTCTTTAAGAAGGTTAATATGTGAGGTCTATAGTTTTTTGAATGATAAAATAGATGACCTTTCTGGCAAACACACCTGAGTTTGTGGACTCATTTGATCTACCAGTAGCTCTGAAATAAATATTCTGGGCAGAGGTCCATTAATGCCACTGCCACTGCCAGCCTGTGAATCTGCAGGAGGAGAAAACCACAGTGCCCTCAACTTTTTTGCAGGAAATCTTAACTCCTCTCGCTGAGTATAGCCATAATCCAGAAAAAAGCTAGCCATTGAATCAATTCCATAACCATTTACCTAGTTAAGTTCAACAACACACATGAATGAGCTAATGAGATATAACCAAATCACACAGAAAAGTTACAATTGCAAGGAAGAAAAGCAGAGAAAAGTACCCCAAATGTCCTGAATGCAAGATGATCATAACATATTGAATTGTTCTCAACAGATTGAACAAGTTCCAATACGGCCTTTGCAGTAGGGTTTCTGTTCAAGTAAACGGATTGCATACTTTCCAACACACCCCTGAAAAAACCTTCACCCCCCTGCACGAAGAGAAATCGTCTTGGCTCATAATCTGATAATCAAGACCATTGTTTGGAATTCAAATTTGATATAAGCCACAGCCAATAAGATCTCAAGATTTGATCTTTTATTTCATTGTGAAAACTGTCTTCTAGAAAATATTTCTAACTACGCTACAAACAATTTCTCATTCAAAATCTATCAAGTTTTGAACTTTTTTTCTAAAACAAGAGTTTGGGATCAAAACATACATAAATAAACACCTGGGAGATAGTTTCTCATCTTTTTTCTCTTCAAATACTTTGTTCCAAGTATTTTGTGGAAAAGACAAACAAACCTTTCAGAAAACAGTAAATTGTTTAAAAAATAATACATGATAACAACAAAGAACAAGACATGATATTTTGGGTTCAGTCAGAAGTAGAACATGAAACAAGGAATCCTAACATGATCATTAATAGATAAGTAAATAAAATAAATAAAACGGAACCTGAATTGATAAGGATCTCTGAGAAACATGTTGTGATGGAGAGTTACAAGAGATGTGGAGGGTTCTTGAGGCCAAGTGTCCCGGAGAAGAAGAGTGTTTCATTGGAACCAAATTCCAGAAATTGGATTTGGAAGGGACAGAGATTGTTCTGCTGAAGAAGAAAAAAGGTGACAAAGTGGAGGACTTGGTAGTTGCAAACATGGTGAAGTTTTTGGTGAGTGATAAAAGAGACTACATGCAACCTCAATCTTATTCAAAGCGCCGGAAAGGTAGATCATTTGATGTAAGCAGTAACACATTCCATTTTCGTTTTCTGTCCTTTTTTTTTTCATTCAACTAATCTTTCTGTTACATTGTTGAAGTGAATATCTCTTAGATAGATTTACTTATTCATAAAATTTTAACACTGTTACAAATTTTACAATAATTCTTACCCTAACTTAATTAAATGAGCTAAACTATTTGAGGTGAGATAATTGAACATATATATATATATACACATATAATTTAAAAGAAGTTTTACTAAAATTAGAAAAGATGTACAATTTAAGATGAATAAATAAAGATGGGATTGATAACTGAAAAGAGTTGCACAAAACAAAATATGCAAACATATCAATTTATATAAAAAAGAAATCTAGAAAGTTGTGGTAGAAGATTAACATAAAAGAATCCTGTTAGTTTTAAAAATGAAAAAAAATATATAATTGATTATATTACTCAAAAATAAAATATTTTAACATACTATATAATTTAATTTATTATCAAAATATTCAGAGTCAATTAATAGATCATAATGGACATTCATAATGAGTTTTAGGTATTTTCTATTATAAAAATGATTTACAATATTAATAATGAATAAAATTATTTATTTGACCTAATTAATATTTTTCCTTTATTTTGCATGCAGTCACTTCCTTGTATATAAGCTAAAAAGGAATGAATGAATGAAAAGAAGAATAGATTTAGTGTAGCGAGTGAAAAGGAGATCGCGTGGGCAATCCAAAAGAGGATTGTATGTAAATAGATATCACATGAGTTGCGTGGCGTGTAGCATGTCTTTAACCTCGAAGCTGATGCTATGACACGTCATTTTTATGAGACAACCTGGAATGTGTCACCTCAAAACTCGGTCCTTATCTCTTCTCTTCTTTATCATCCAAAAAAACATTTATATTATTCAATTCAGAACGAATAATATTCGCTCTATTGTTTATTCATTCTATTTATTTAATTAGGCTTCTACATTCTGCTATATGTTAGTAAGAATATTATTTACACTATTTTCTAATAATATTCTAATAATATTGTAAACTTTAAGCAATTTTTCGATTTCAACATGTCAATTTAGCTTTTTAGGAAAAAAATATACTAATTATATTTTAACATTTCACCATATTAAATTAAATCATGAGAATAATCATAACCGGAAAATAAAATTAGTTTGTTTATTTAAATACACATTTTTCCAGGAGCTACTATTAGTGGTTGGTTTTTAGTAGTTAAATAATATAGGATAATGCTTTACTCTTTTTTTATGCACAAATATGTCACTTTTTGTCAATGTATAAAAAATAGCAATTTCTTTTATCATAATCACCGACTATATGTTACATTTTGTTTTTAATTATTCCTTACAAATATGTAACTTTTTATCTTTTAAATATTTTACCTTTTGGAAATATATAACTCTTGTTTATCTTAATATAGTAAAATCATATCATGATTCAGATATCTTATAAAATGTTATGTTTGTGATTTATTATTTGACATTTAATACAGGGAACGTCTTTTATATTAACTATTTTAGTTTGTTTATATTAGTTCTAGGTTCGTTTTATAGAGTATTTAAATTTATGTATTAAAAAAACATAAAACTCAAATTTGTCAGATTATAACAGACGTGAATGCTTCGATTTATGTCGATATTATCAAATTCGATGAAAAATATAAAGAGTGTTATAGAACATATTCGTGTATTAGAATAATGATATAGATTATTTTACTTTAAAATAATTTTATAATATAAAAATAATTTTTATAAATATTTCTCATTATTCTAAAAACACTTCATCTTTCTAGAACTATATTCTCCAGAGTTCTCTGACTTCTTTCTACAAACTCTCTTTGTTGAGTTATCTGTTCAACGATCAAGAGGTGCCTAGGCGATCCTGACGTTGAGAGCTTCGTTTTGGACCGATCAATTTTGTGTTCTTCAACTGTTAAATGGTGTCCATTTTTGTCCGTTCTTCGATGGACTGTGGACATGCACTGTTTCCGCTTTGCATGTAGTTACATTTCTTCCTTCCTTTTTTTCTAGCTCAAATTAGGTTTTAAGTTTGGTTCTCTATCACCAATTGGTGAGTTGTAGGTTTCTGTCGAGTTTCCTTGTAGTGCAAGGTACGGTTGGAGCATTTCTGTGTTGGGGCTGTTTATCTCTGAGGTAAGGGGAGCTAG